AAAACTAGTTAAAGAGTTTTCAATTTCTATAAAATGTGGATATGAGTTAATTAATAACAATATTTATTAATTTTTGGTAATTTACTAACCATACTAATAAGAATATTTAATTTTTGGTAATTTAATAACCGTATTTATTAACTTTTGGTAATAACATTATTTAATACTCATTGAACATGGATGGGATTAAATGTTAACCGTATTTAACTATTTATTAATTAATATGAATGCTTTAAATGAGGGAGAGTGGATATAGATTGGAAATGATGCATTTTAGGAATTGATTAGGGAGTGGGGCAACATGATACTTTCCTATTGGTTTAAATGAGATACCTTAGGAAAGAGATTATAAGAATATTTTTAGGTAGTTGGGTGACATGGCTTAATGGGAGTGGTGGGAATGGGAGAGGAGAGAAAGTCAAAGAGAATGCAGGGTGGGGATAATGGAGCAAGGAGAGGCATGGTGATAGGGACCCGTGCTTTGTTAAGCGAACGTTAAACAATATAAATACATAAGGGTATATAATTGTTTTATATTTTAATTTTTTAATAGACTACCGATCAAACTCAACCCGAGTTGGTTGGTTTTCTAGTATTTCAGATCGACTTTGGTTTAATAAATATATATTAATATTTTATATTTTAAATTTAATTTTTTAATATGGGAAAGTAGAAAAATTCCCATATTTGTTAGTCTAGAATATTTTATATCATAGATTTAATTTTTGTAATTTATTTTTTTTAATAATATCATTAATTTAAGAAATTTAAAGTTAATTTTTAAGTTTAAATCTTTTTGAACAAGCAAACTAAACCGAAAATAGACCCAAATCGATAAAACTTGAGTTGGTGGGTTTTCGCTAATGGTCAATCGGTTTCGAGTGACAAATTGCGGACTTGACCATATCGATTTGGTTGGCAAAACAACATGTAACTAAACTGAACCAATCAATGAACAATTTCAACTAAATTTATAGTATAGTCTCTAATAAATAACAATAGTTTAATCTCCAATAATTATTGAAAATTTATAGCAAATGTACACAATCATTGAAAATA